GGAATGCCCGCACCGAGGAACAGCACAGACGAGGGGAAAATCTCCTGGGCGAGGTGTTTCCTCTGCCGCTCTCCAGCAGAGCAGGGTTCCAAATAACTGCCCGCCCTCACTGGGCCCAGTCCAAACCAGCAAATGCGCCCATCTGTTTGGGGCGGCCCCCCAGGGTGAGAGCGGGAGGCGATCCCAGCCGTGGCTGCAGGGAGGAGCAGAATCCAAAGAGCGATGTCTCAGTCAGAACCAAGCAGGAAGTGCGCTCCCTGCAGCCTGGCCCTGCGCGGAACTACCCCATCGCCCACTGGTGCCACTGGTCTTCCAAGTGGGACAAAGCAGAACGGAGAGAGGATGCTGGATTGCAGGCCCTTTCTCCCGCCATCCAGTGCTGGCAGCCAGCCCACAGCTTTCCCCAGACGCTGCCTCCACACAAGATCCTTTTTTGTTTCCTTTTACGACTAAAGAAACTCAAGAGGGGGCGCGCCTTCCTTTCCAGAGCCGCAGTGCGAGCTCAGCTCTCGACTCCCAACGCTACCTTTGTAATCCCCAGCCTGGATTGTTTGGGTTGGATTTTTTTTTAAAGTAACTCCCGTGTCGTTTTTGTAGATTTCTTTTTAAAGATGTTCCTTTCTCCCCGCCTCCTCTCTCTAGCCAGGAAAAAAAATGTTGAACGAGAGCCAGCTGGCACGCACCGGAGGAGGCTGAGAAATCTGCACAAAGGAGCTTCCTCACTCCCTTGCTGCTCACAGCTCAAGAACAGTGCATGGGAGGGGGTCCTGCTCTTCCCCACACATCAGGCAGCCTAGAGGAGACAAAGGAGTTTTACCATGACCCCCTGAGAACTGCCACCCAACCAGGGCCGGTTTCCTGAACTACACTCACAAAGTGGGTGTCGCAGAGGTTTCTAAACATGCTGACACCCAGGGTTTCAAAACATACCCTTAAATCTGGAATTAAGCACAGTTTGAAGGTGACAGCGTGTCCCTTTCTTTTGCTCATGATGTAAAGGACTAAGGGCCACCAAAGTTTACCCAACCAAGTGCCATGCTGGCAACCTGCCATGAGCATGAAGGCTGCACCCATGTTGAATAAAATGGAGCCACCTTC